TGGAGCCGCCGCGACCCCGTGACACTGTTCAACTCGGCCAAGCCGAGTTGAACACGGCGTGAAACATCTGTGGGACCGGCCGGTATTCGTATCGTTTCGAAAGGGCCCAATGTCTTCGGATAAACGGATAAACCTTGGTGAAGGGTGGTCTGATATATTATCATACATAATCTTACAGTAGACTCCTACACTTCTAGATTTGCAAAACTCAAATTGTCAACCCATTCCAAAGCTGAAAACCATCCAGGAGGGTTCCCAAAGCAGTTGATTTCCCAACCCCCAAGATGTTTGGAGTTTTCAATGGAGCTGCCACGGCCATTACTGGGGTGTAGAATCACGGCATTTCTGATGGTAAATGGAACGCAACTCAAATGGAAACTCCTCCATTTGCCAATGAATTTGCCCAGCTGACCCATTTATAGACGACCCATTGATGTTCCATCTTCTCGACGTGGAAACTGTTGGCTTCAATCCCTGGGAATTTGCTGTGCCACGGTGGTCCCATGCAGATGTCGCACTCTTAGAAGCCTCAAAGTGTTTGAAAGGGGAGGACCAGAAAGACACCGTGACGCGCTGTCAGTGGATGAAAGTCCTTCAACGAATCTGGGTTTGTCCCGAAAGATGCGGATTTAGCCCGATTTCCGTTTTAAATGGAGGAAAAGGGGCTAGACTAGACCTCTTTTTTCTTTAGGGGGGTTACACTATTTTAAGATATTTTAAGACAAACCCACCGAAGCAATGCCCAAAACCCTTACGTTGACATTGTTCTTTGCCACAGGAATAGGATTGCCACAGGAATAGGGTTCCAAGAATTGCGATCGCAATTATTACTTGTATTGTGTACTATTGTAATATTGTCATAGAACTTTCTTGGTAGTATCATAACTTATATGATCCGGAGTTGAAAGGTCGGGGGGATACTGGACCTTCGAAAAACGCAGTTGACAATCCAAGAATCCGCAGCTAAGATGCAACCAATCAGCATCAATCAGCCATGTTTCAGGTTTGTTTAAAGTTTGGCAGTGGGAGACATACCTGAAATCAGACATGCCCTTGGAAAGTCACCATTTAAGCGTATATATATATATTATATTCAAATCCATTCACAGATGATTTGTACTATATCAACCCCCAACAAGATCGAAGCATGTTCCGAACATGGTAGTTCGAAAAAAAATCGATTTTCCTCATATCTGATGTTCAACTTAAATCACTTCAATCATCATGTTGGTCAAATCCCATCCACAATGTCCTGTGCTCATTCCTCAGCCCCTGGGGCTCTCCAAACAAGTCCCGCACGGTGAGACCATGAGCCTTGGCTCAGAGGGATCGGTGAAGATCGGCGACACATCGTTTTTTCCCAGCTTCCAGGTGAGGGTCTCTAGATTTTAAGAAAGGTGCAACTCCTCTTCTTCCACCTGCTCTTCCTCCTACTCCTTTGCTCCTGGTGTGCTCCTCTTGCTCGTGTGGGTTTCAATTGTGAGCCAGCTTGGCCGAAGTCTTGTGACGGCTGAAGCTTCGTTGGCGAGTCTGAACAATTCCATAAACAGTAATTTGATCAGAAATATGGCCGGCCAGCTTTCGAGAGCACAGATTTCTTAATCCCAGGGTTAGGGAGGGGGCCCAGTGAACGCTTGGATGTCAAAGGGGAAGTGTTCTTTGTTTTTTTTGACGAATTAATATCTATTATTATTTGGAGAAGGTCATGTTTTAATATGTTTTAGGGGGAAGAGACAAATAGTAATTCGATTGTTTTGAACATTTTTTTTCAGAAACGAGCGCGGGGTTATTTACTCCGAGCAAGACGCGCGATTGTAGATTCTTAACATCTTTACGGCCTGCTGCAGCCAAGGTCTCGCTCTCTACCCCCAGCATTCCGCTCACCTGGGCCACGACAATGTCAGAACATATGCCAGAAAGAATGTCAGAATAGATGCCAGATAGAATGCCAGATAGAATGTCAGAATAGCAGATGCTAGTGCTAGATAGAATGCCAGAATGACTGCCTGAATAGATGCCAGATAGAATGTCAGATAGAATGTCAGATAGAATGTCTGATAGAATGTCAGATAGAATGTCAGAGTAAATGCCAGCAAAGTATCAGAATATAATTGTGTATATATATAATTATATAAACAATATGTATTTATGCCATATATACTTCCAGATGATACGTCAGAAACTATGCCAGAATAGTGTGTCAGGCTGGGGATCACTCGAAGTAAGGCATTTTTTTTGCGCAGAGAGTAAGCACCAGCCATGAACACTTGGGGATTGAAGATGATGTATGACATTGGTGGCGACCTGGCGATCCAAGAATAGGGTACTGTAAAGGACGTACAGGAGACTGGTCATTCTTTGGTACTTAGCCATCCATTTGTTGGGGGTATTTTGAACCATTCACGCATCTAAATCTGCACGATATATATATATATATATTTATCTCATAAAAAACCGCAAGAAAGAACGGTTCGCAAAGGGGAACTAACCCCATTTTGGGGCGCGCATGCAGTTTGAGAATTACTTAATTTGTTTATATAACTGGGAGAAACCCAGCTAGAGACATATGAAAAAATGATAAGTGGGATGATCATCCAAGTACATAGGCCAAGATGCCAAAAACTTAGTTTACCTTATCCAGGTCCAAAACTCAGGACTTTGGTTTCAATCATTTTGTGGATCTTCACCCCCTTTGTTGCATTTTTCAGCCCACAAGTATCTCAGGGAAGCCCGTCAGCTGGACAGGGAGGTGGCGAATGAAGCTTCGGCAGTGGAAGGTTTTGGACGTGAAAACATGAAGGGGTTCAACTCGCAAACCTTGGGATTTTAAGGGTACCAAATTAGGATTTAGTTGCAAAAAATGGAGGTTCATACCTAGACTGGGGCTACAACCGATATATGATACAACTGGGGCTTCGAGTCTTCCCCTTAAAACACTGCCCCTTGCAGGTCTGCTCCCTTCCCCTAAGTTCAATATCATATGTATCAACTTCTGCATCTCATATGTGTAGATTGAGACATGCTGTACCCACTATGCCTGGGTTGCCATACCATGTTTTGATGTAGCTGATGAGTCAGAACTGCAACCATCAGATTCATCAGATATGACCAGATATGATCGGATGTCATCAGGAATTATCAGGAACATCTTTGTCTTTGTTTGAATTTTACATGTAAAGCCTGGTTGATCTTACCAGTTGGCAACGCCAGGCTCTGCGCTTGGACCTTGGAAATGCGGGGGGATGGGGATGGGATCTCAAACGTCACGTTGCTTGCTGGAACATCTACCCTCTGGTTATTTAACATAGCCATGGAAGCCATGGCCCATTGACATAGATGGTTTACCCAGCTATAAACCTCCATTTATGGTTGGGATTTTCTATATGTTAAATAACCAGGTGGTACCATTGATGATTCTCCTAGTGGATTTCCCATTGCCGTGTTTACCGGAGGCTTTTCTGGGGAGGACAACCATCAAAGACTAGGGGTTTTGATCCATAGCTACCGTTAAGGTTACCATCTAAGACCCCAAAAAGACCCTGAAAATTGACAGTTCGACCCTGCCATGAGGTGGAGCTTGGAAGATTCGTTTCCACTCAAAACTGACCATTTTCAGGGTCTATGTTAATTTAGTGGAAGTCATTTTCAAGATTTCCTGCAATCTTTATTGGAGATCCAGTTTGGACCCGTAGCCATGTAGCCTTGTACCATCTTGTACCCATGTAGCCATCCAATTTTCGTCGAAGAGTCTCACCCCGCGTCAAGGTCAAGCCTCAACTGCTCTGGCGTGCCTCTCCCCTGATTGCCTGCCAGGGGCCGATCTTGGGATGGTTGAGATGACGAGCCTATTTTTGGAATGTCTTAAAATCACCAACCAGATGTTCATTCATGTTCCTACAAATCTTCCAACCTCAAAAAGAGTGGTTTGGCTGCAACTTGCTGGTGCTTGCTTTGAAATGGAGGTATCCTAAAATAGGGGTACCCCCAAATCGTCCATGTTATTTTCCGATTTTCCATGAAATACCCTCTGGTAAACTAACATAACTATGGAAAATCACCATTTTTAATGGGAAAATCCACTATAAATGGTCATTTTCAATAGCAAACTGTTAAATTACCAGAGGGTAAGCCATTTTAGGACCCCCCAAAAAACATGTCGTTTCATGTCGTTCCATTCCTGCCAAGGTCGGAGCTGCTGGCGCATCTTCAGGACCCAAAAATAGGGGAAGTCCTCGGAGTTGGACGGGTTCCTTAAGCGCGCTTTGGCTGGGAAGGGATCCAAGAAATCAACGGGGAAGAAGCCTTCTTTCAGGTTAGTGAATGATGATAATGTACCTCAGATATAGAAGAAAAGCCACCATTTTTCGCAAGTGACAAGAGTAAATGATGGTAGATTATGGCAAATTGTGGTAAATGATGGTAGATTTTGTGCAACCAAACCCTCAGATGGCTATCCAAGACAAGTCCTGGCCACTGAGATGCTGAGGACGTAGATGGCCCAGAGGATGTGGAGGCACAATGCATTTTAGCGGCATGAAATTGTTCCAAGAGTTCAGAATTCAGGAAATGCATGGTAGAAGCGGTAGAAGTGGGTAAACCAAACTTCTTGTATGTATCTATTAGATTCTATTAGTATCTATGTTCATGAACTTTCCCTTTCGGAAAACTGGAAAAAAACACCCTGTGCCACTGGTGGATGTTCGTAACTTGGTGGTTGAGGGTCACAGGGCTGAGTCTCCATTTTGAATAGTCCAGCAGGGCTGGCAGCCTCTCCAGTGGTTGGGAGGGAGCTGTTCGGAGCCAGTTAGAGCTGCGAATTGAGTGGGACCCAACCATATGATAGCTACAGTCATCCCCAAATCGATGGAAAAGTCTCATCAAACTCGGAGGGATGTACTTTTCAATCTGGGGATGACAAGAAAAACACCACATCCATCAACTTGCAGCCGTATATCTTTAAAAAAAAGAGCACCCGTTGAACCCTGACCTTTCCACCAGCCATGGCCTCCGTCGCAGCCTTTGTGGTGACCCCCAGCGCCCTGCGCACCGTGGCCCCGGCCACCCTTGTCTCCGCGCCGCAGCGTGCGCCCGGTCAGCACGGTGCTGTGCACCTGCCTGCAGCAGCGGCGGCCGCGGGTGCCGTGGCTGGGCTGGTGGGTGGCTTCAAGCGAAAGGCGCAGCGCAAGAGCCGTGCCGTGGTGCAGCTTGACAACGTGATGGGATCTGATGGATAACATGGGCTGGTTGGTGCTTTTGTGATGTTGATTTTGAAGTTTCAGACCTAATTATTTGGGATTATGATCTGAGCTGGCACGCATATTTTTTCAGCAAATTTGCATCTACGATTGGGTGATTTTCCATGGCAGCTTTTTCACGGCCTAACACAAGGGTTCCGCCCAAAATGGGATGGTGCTCCGGCTAACAAAGATCTGTGGGTTCGGAGGGCTTAGAGTAGTCAGCGTCTAGCCAGATTCCTCTTCAAGAGAAGTAGTCTTTCTGAACTCGGGAAACCCATGCCTAACAATCTATTTTGGCCACCACGTAGTCACTACATGTCTAGAGAAATCCGGGAAAAACCTGCAGCTTTTTCTCCGTGAGGTATGTATGTTGGAGGTATTTTCTGGTGGATGTTCATTTGGTGAACGTTGCACAGGTTGATCGTTGTCGATGTGGAACCCAATGACAGTTTTTTAGTGACCGAGGTCTATGGCCGCCCGTGGTGGTGAGAGCTATGATGCTTTGGTCAAGGACTTGGAGGAGTGGAGCAAGTCGACTGAGAATTCTGATGGGCGGATGTCTGCAAATGTGTGGGTGAAGCCCCATAAATATTGATATTTATTTACAGTATTATTTATGGACTTTTCGGGATAACGGATATTTATTGATATTGATTGATATTTATGGCAATTGATTGCAATTTTAAAGTATTACAATGGGGAACTGATGACCAGTGGATAGGTCTGGAAGATTCTGCAAGACGATTTTCAAAGATGGAAGGTCTGGCAAAATTTGGGATTGTTCCACGATAGTTTTCAGCACTTTATCTGCAAAGATGGGGGAAAGCTCAAAGCTCTAACTCGAATGGTTTACTCTCCGCAGTATATACAGAAACCGACATGGATAGACAACGTGGGTGGGCTTTGATTGTGTTTTGGGGTACACAGTTTTTGGACACAGCATACTAGTCGCCCTCCTGTCATCACGTAGCTGTGGAAAATCATTATTTTCATTACTATAGATCGTCATAAATCATCTGTACATGGGCCATTTTCCATATGTCAATAACCAGAGGGTTTTCCTTCACCAACTTCGCTGTTGGCTTTTGGCCCCCCTTGGTTTTGGCGGGACAAAATCTGATCCAATTCTGGCAGGAGCTGGTGAAGACCAAACAGTGTGGTCCCATCTTGGTCCGTTTGTCTTGGCACGACGCGGGGGTCTTTTCGGATGGCAAGCTGAAGGGAGGCTGCCCCAACGCGGTCATGCGATTCACAGATGCAGGCGAAGGGGGAAGCTGTGGCTTTTCCTAAGGTGCTAAAGATGCTAAAGCCACCAAATTTGTTTGAGGTACGTGAAAGAAATTGAATTGCAGAATCGGGTACGTTTCTCATTGGATTTTTACTGCAAAATGTGGATCATTATTCAATATGTTTGATCTGCGTCACATCGCATGGTGTGTTTTCGAGGAGGTAAAATGAGACACCCCTCAGGACAAGCATGGCAGCATGGTGCAATTGGATCAAGGGATAGACTTTGCATGGGCTGTTCATGGCTGTGATCTGAATCGCCCAGTTTTTTTCCTCCACAAATGGGCAATAGTGAATTCCCCCAGCCATGGTCTTCTTACATGGATGAAACCACGCATTGAGCCAAGACTTAACTCATATTTTATATTTCTATAGGGTAGCATGCTTCTCCAAAAAAGTCCAGCTGATCAGAAGCAAATCCATATTTGACGGGATGGTTTGCCAAGGCTTCCTGTCAAGATTTTCCCACCAGGACCCATCAGGACCCTTTCGTTGAACTTCCCGTCAGTAGTGGTCGAATCCTCAATTGGTTTGTGTGAAAATAGGGCACCCGGGTATGTTCCCGCATGAAAACAGCAATTTTAATGGTATTCCCCATGTTTGGACACACCCACATCATATTCTGCTGTCGGTTGCATATCCCCGTACATTCCTAGAGACTGGCTGGGTTCATCCCTATCTCTTGGTGGAAAATACGATGGTATTTTTTGCATTGTTCAACTCCCCATTATACAACCAATTATAAACATATAAACATACAGTGCATGTATATGTCTGAGTGTCTATATCTGTATATTGTGTATATATCTGGTTTGTGGTTTGGAACATTTTTTATTTTTCCATATATTGGGATCCCCCTTGGAATTTCCTCTAAAGAATAAGACAACCCGGGTTGTCAATTTCTGCTTGATTCTTTAGAGAATGAACTTTGCCTGTTTGCATGGGGTCGCGTTCTCTATGAAGGCCAGCCGGGTATGATTCTTTAGAGGACTATGTTGTGGAAGCATTTTTTTCCATTTTGGAACCCTAAAATGACCTTCTCATTTTTTCAAGTGCTGGCCAAAACATGGCTCAAAAGCCGCAACAAATCTGACACTAGACATGATGAGAGTAGCAAAATTTTACATAGATTCATACAATAACCCCGTTCATCGTTTTGCCGGGCATAGCAAAATACAGACATTAAAATGTAGTAGGCATTTTGATGGTCTTGTGTTTCCCTAATGAAATCAGCTCCAATTCTTTGATCCTTCATGGAATATTTCAATAAAAATGGAACAGGGGCATCCCCTAAAATAACACGTATTGAATCTTCTGGGCTCTTCTGAGTATCCTTTCTTGAGCTCTAAAGATCTCTAAAGAATCTAAATCTGATCGGTGCTGCCACCAGCTCTCCCTCTAAAGAATGTTTTTTTCCTCTTTTCCTCCTTGGTGATTCACTGGGTCTAGATTCTTTAGAGAAAATGCAGGGCCAATGAATCTAGTAACACTTGGGAATACAAAAGAAAACGATAAAGAAGCATGGGTTTTGATGGGTCGACAGGCCTTAGCCTCTAAAGAATCAGAACTGGCTCGGTCCCCTTCCAAATCTGTTAAAACACCATCTCCCCAGGGAACCCCCAGGGAACCCCCAATATTCCCAGGTATAGCACCAATGGTTTTCAGAAGGCAGCTCAACAAACCCCTGTGTTGGGATCTGGGTCCTGATTCTTTAGAGAGGCTTCCCCTGAAAATATCCTAAACTTATCCAAAATGAACCAAAATAACATAGAACTGTGTAAAACTACCGGGTTTTGATGGGTCGACAGGCCTTAACCTCTAAAGAATCAGAACTGGCTCGGTCCCCTTCCAAATCTGTTAAAACACCATCTCCCCAGCCCCAGCAAACCACCAGTATTCCCAGGTATAGCACCAGTGGTTTTCAGAAGGCAGCTCAACAAACCCCTGTGTTGGGATCTGGGTCCTGATTCTTTAGAGAGGCTTCCCCTGAAAATATCCCAAACTTATCCAAAATGAACCAAGATGACATAGAACTGTGTAAAACTACCGGGTTTTGATGGGTCGACAGGCCTTAGCCTCTAAAGAATCAGAACTGGCTCGGTCCCCTTCCAAATCTGTTAAAACACCATCTCCCCAGCCCCAGCAAACCACCAGTATTCCCAGGTATAGCACCAGTCGTTTTCAGAAGGCAGCTCAACAAACCCCTGTGTTGGGATCTGGGTCCTGATTCTTTAGACGGACTTCCCCTGAAAATATCCTAAACTTATCCAAAATGAACCAAGATGACATAGAACTGTGTAAAACTACCGGGTTTTGATGGGTCGACAGGCCTTAGCCTCTAAAGAATCAGAACTGGCTCGGTCCCCTTCCAAATCTGTTAAAACACCATCTCCCCAGCCCCAGCAAACCACCAGTATTCCCAGGTATAGCACCAGTGGTTTTCAGAAGGCAGCTCAACAAACCCCTGTGTTGGGATCTGGGTCCTGATTCTTTAGAGAGGCTTCCCCTGAAAATATCCCAAACTTATCCAAAATGAACCAAAATAACATAGAACTATGTAAAACTACTGAGTTTTGATGGGTCGACAGGCCTGAACCTCTAAAGAATCAGAACTGGCAATGATCTTTAGATCAGACTGGGGAAATCTTGCGTTGCAAGAGAGCGGCAAAAATTTAATCGAGCAGCACCAAAAACCTCCATGAAGGGATTTAGTATATTCGGGTTCATGTGGGGAACCCCCCGCGAAAGCAAAACCTCCACGCGCGAAAGCTTCGCGAAAGGAGTGCGTCAAGGTCGAGCCGCGAAAGCAGAGGCGAAAGCAGGTACATAGTAGAAGCGCATTTCGATATTCATGTGCACCATTATTTACGGGCAATTTTCCGCGAAAGCAACTGCGAAAGATATTACGAAACACCTGTCACCGCAATAGCCAAAACTGTGCGCGCGAAAGAACCGCGAAAGCCGTCGCGAAAGCTTATAAGGATTAGAACCAAATCGCTACCCGGTTTTCGACGCCGCTCAATTGAGATCAGCGAGCAGGAGCGGAGGTGTTTCGATTTTTTTTGGAATTGGGAGTGTTTAGGGCTAACAAACATTAGTAAAAATATGTTGTAGGTAGATTTCCTAAGAACCACGCAAAGCTACAAAACATATGTGAAATGTCATACGGGTGAATGTCTACAACTCAAACCCGGGTGTTCTAATTCTTTAGGCTCATTTTTTGCCCTCTCGAGGGGTGCAACCGGGTATGATTCTTTAAGCCTCATGGGTTAGAGTGGCCAACTGCCAACTGGGTATGATTCTTTAAGCACTGTTCCAGGTGCCTGTACAGAAGGGTTCCCATTCTTTAAAGATATTTTTTGGTGGCACAGGGCGTCCCTTTAAAGAATCTGAACACCCGGGTTAGGGACCGAATTCAAAGGGGGATATATTGGGAATAATCATCCCAACTGACGTTCATATTTTTCAGAGGGGTAGGTATACCACCAACCAGATATATATATATATATTTATCCCTTGATATCCTTACACCATAAATAGGTTCCCAACTTCCAAGCTCTGACAGGCGAGGGCACCTTCGGGGCCAATGCGGGGCTTCCGGATGTGGCTGTGGGCCTGCTGAAGCCCATCAGCGACAAATACGTCCCGGACACCATCAGCCATGCTGACCTCTGGGTGCTGGCGGCCAATGTGGCTATCAAGGTGGGCCTTGGGATGGTGGAATGGTGGATGGATGGATATGGATGGTCTAGTTCGAGGTTGGGTAAAAAGGGATGGTGATTCTTGGAGGCTTTTTGGATTTGGGGAAAGGATGAGAATGAGAATGTCTGTTTCTTGCGTTCATGAGAAGCTTGAGGCCTGGACCTGCAGGAACAAAATTGGCCATCGATGGCCATACAAGGGAATCCAACCAATGATCATTTCGCCCAAGCTGACTCAAACACATCCCAAGCATGTTGTCTGATAGGATCAAGCAAAGATTCAATGTTCACCATTGTTCACCCCTTTTGGAGTTCCTTTGATGTGAAAGCTCCAAACAGTCCGTGGGCGGTTCTTGCATGCGTTGATCTAACTTCCAGATCCTTTTTGATTCAAATAAATGATCCAAGTCTTATGTTTGGCTGTTCAACATCCATCAACATCCCATTTATATCCGTTCATTATGTCTCAAACACATCACATCACCTCCCCAATTATACTGTATATAAATTGTATTACTGATAATATCACAATTATGGTTGTTTCTATACATCGATTTCATTGGTGCTTAAATCCTTATTAAAACCCATTCCACACCAACAATTGTTAGCCCCAAATATTGTTGGTTCATTCTTATTCTTGGTGAATTTCGGGCAAACTCAGCTATGTCCAGCTAATGATCCCCCATTTTGTTGCTTTACCATTTGTTGGTTTCCCCCATTTAAGGTGAACATTACCATTTGGATCATTTGGTTTGTAGCTGGGATTAAGCCCAACTATCAGCCATATAACTGCTTGGTGGTTTGGAACATGGCTTTTATTTTTCCATTCAGTTGGGAATGTCATCATCCCAACTGTTACTCACTCATCCTTTTCAGAGGGGTAGGGCTCAACCACCAACCAGCTTATCATCCCCCCTTTTTCGTTGCAGGTCATGGGCGGTCCGGACATCAAGACGCGCTTCGGGCGCAAGGATGCCAAGGACTCCAGCGAGTCGGTCGAATCGCAGGTGGGGTGGTTTTTAGCAGCGGCCAAAAAAAACCCGGTGGATGAAACAAAAAACCCTCAAACAATGGTGGTTTTAGGGGAGTTCAACATAGTTTCACTCAGTTTAACCATGAAAAATATGGGCTAGAAGTGGATATATAACTGATAAATGAGGATTTTTGTTGGGATTTCATGGGGGATGCCATTTAATAGGGGGGTTCGACAATCAAAAGATGGGGATATAAGCGGATTTAACCATGAAAAGTATGGGTTGATGATTAGTTCGGGATTATACTAACCAATATATTGGGGATTATCACAATCCATTAAGGGGAATCCTAATCAACCAACCACATGTGGACTTGGGGTGGATGGGGATTTGAATGGACGAGGGAACTGGTGGAAACCTTGCAGAACTGTGGCTGAAAGAGGCGCTGATTTCATTTTTTTTTGAATGGATTCCACCCTTTTACAGGTGAGAAGTTGAACACTGAACATGAGATTGTCCCAAAATATGTGTTGCCAAGCAGATTCAGATTTGACAGATTTGACCCACATCTCCATTTTGGGTGTGCAGTTCCAGATAAAATTATAAGTGAGCATATATATATAATATAATATAATATATATATATATAATATAATATAATATATATATAACTATATATATATATACTTGCCCCTTATCTCAACTTATGGGGGTTAAAACCCCATGATTATACCCACTAAAGAATATCCCATTATACCGTATAATTATACCATTACCCTCAGGGAATCTAACATAGCTATGGAAAATTATCCATTTATGGATGATTTGCTTCTTATAGAAGTGGTGATTTTCCAGCTCGCTATGTTAAATTACCGGAGGGCATCTCCCATCCAACCTCCCATCAAATCCCAGGAATTCCCACGACATGTCCATCAAATTCCGAATAAAATCACCATGAGATCCCACTTAAAATATCCCCTTTCTGAAATTCCCATGTTTCATTCTGAATTCCCACCTGGGACCCTAAAGTGCAACATGAAATTCCCCAGTGAAATTCCCCAGTGAAAGCTGTTCGCCTTCAGGTGGGCCGTCTCCCCGACGGAGACAAGGGCATCGACCATCTCCGCGAGATCTTCCATCCCAAGGCCAACGATGGCGGGATGGTGGCTACCCCCTGTGGAGAACAAGAACAGGAAACATACGGGGATATAGCTGATAAATGCTGATAAATGATGTTTTTTTTGGGGGTTTAACCATCAAAAGTATGGGATATAGTGGGGATATAGTTGATAAATGATGGGCTTTAATGGGGGTTTAACCATCAAAAGTAGTCGGGATATAGTGGGGATATAGCTGATAAATGATGGTTTTAATGGGGGTTTAACCATCAAAAGTAGTCGGGATATAGTGGGGATATCGCTGATAAATGATGGTTTTAATGGGAGTTTAACCATCAAAAGTAGTCGGGATATAGTGGGGATATCGCTGATAAATGATGGTTTTAGTGGGGGTTTAACCATCAAAAGTATGGGATATAGTGAGGATATCGCTGATAAATGATGGTTTTAATGGGAGTTTAACCATCAAAAGTAGTCGGGATATAGTGGGGATATCGCTGATAAATGATGGTTTTAATGGGGGTTTAACCATCAAAAGTAGTCGGGATATAGTGGGGATATAGCTGATAAATGATAGGTTTTATGGGGGTTTAACCATCAAAAGTAGTCGGGATATAGTGGGGATATCGCTGATAAATGATGGTTTTAATGGGGGTTTAACCATCAAAAAAGTAGTCGGGATATAGTGGGGATATCGCTGAGGAATTATCAGTTATAAGTTGGTGTATACCACCATAAACCCAGATGGAGGTTTCTGAAATGGTGGGGTACCCCAAGTCAACCCATGGGTTAACCTATACTAAGTCATGGTCATCCCCCCCCAATTTTAACCTCTATGTGGGGATATAGCTGATGAATGATGGTTGAATATGGTTGATGTCTTTTTTTTGGGCGACATATACCATAGTTAATTACTATTTTTTTCCGGTAAGGCTCGGTCAACTGTGGGTTTGGTGCTATAAGATGATGTTTCATATTCCTTAAAGCAGGATGGCTCAGTTCATTCTTGCTACCCAGATGGCCCAGTTTACCCCACTATTACTACTGCAGCTGTTTCGAGCCACCCGGCAACACGTTGCAGTGCTGAGCTTTGTGAAGTCTAGGAGTCTTCCACCAGTGCCAGGATGACTGGGAGGTTTCATATAAATCTTCCCTGTTCCGACCCCCCCAAAAACGCGAAACAATATGGTGATGATGATGCTGATGCTGATGATGATGATGATGATGATAATGATGATGATGATGATGACGACGATGATCTTGAATGACCAGATGATGTCTGTTTTCTGAATATATCAGTTAGATTCAGTTTCCAGCCCTCCCAGGGCTTCGATGACAAAGACATTGTGGCCCTCTCTGGTGCCCACACTGTGGGTGACTTGGTCAGACTTGAAAGGGTGTATGGGTGGAAAAAGCCACCCCCGGTCATAGATAGAAAAGTTGGAAGCCCGGAAAATATGGAGGACACATCATTTATAACATCTTGGAAAGACTTTCCGGCATTGTTTTTGGGTTGTTTTAGAGGTTTTCCGAGCCAATTTTTGTATGAATGTACACACACACACATATTTTGAACATCAAGTGAAGTTGTTACTATCAACACACCTAAATTGACATCCTTGGGACGTTCATCCATCCAAATATCCCGAAGATATACTTCATCCGACTTCATCCCAGTCTCTTTTGGCCCTGGCTATCAATTGTCAGAATTACCATCCACTCGAAGAAGTGCACGCAGTGCAACTTGCAACTGGAAAATTTTTAAAAGATTTCAAAAGTATCGGACTTGACCAAGGGGTTTGTTTTGATGATTCTTCACTCAAACGGCTTTGGTGGTTGCAAATACTTTGCTTTTTTCCATCTCCCCAAAGTGGGAGGTGGTGTCCAATGACTTTCATGAATCATGTCCTGGAATAGTAAACCCTGATATACCCTGACGATCAATTGGGGGGTTGCTGACAAAATAGTTTTTTCTAAATCACTATTGAAATTGGTATATATATATACACCATTATATACCTAAAAAATAAGCAACTGCGGGTGAAGCAAAATCCTGGATTAACATTGCTAGTTGTTGTTGGTGGTTCCTAATGCGAAAATAGTGGTTAATTTATGTAGATGTACATAACCGTAACATTTTCTACTGTTTTGGGGCTTAGTATATATACATATATAAATATACATGTTACATAATTAAAAAAAAAGTTGATAGCTCTCTACACTTATGTAATTTTGTACGTGAGGAACTAACTAAGTAAATAAAATAATATAGATCTATCTATCTATCCATCCATCTATCCATCCATCCATCCATCTATCTATCCATCCATCTATCTATCTATCCATCTATCTATCTATGTATCTATCTATCTATCTATCTATCTTTATTTTAGGTTCGCCGGCTCAAGCACCCAGCCGCCGAGCCACGCAACAACGGTTGTGACTTTCGTTCTTTCAGGAAAGTGCAACCTGGATCGCAGTGGCTTCGATGGACCCTGGACGGAGGAACCTTTGAAGTTCGACAACACTTACTTCAAGGAGCGCTGGCGGAAACCACGAGTTTCCGCGGGGAAATTTCATGGGGATACCCTCCGGTAAACGTTTACGTAACTATGGAATATCACCATTTTGAATGGGTAAATCAACGAACTAAATGGACCATTTTCAATAGCAAATTGTGAGTTTACCAGGGGGATACAATGTGTAACCATCACAGTAGGTAACCATCAACAGTAGGCCTTTAAGAGGCGAACAATGACGTGTTGGGAATGTCAAAATCACCTTTGGAATTATTGGAAAAGATGGTTGAGGTTCCGAAGCATAGGATAGGGTGACAATTTCAGCAGAAGGTCCCAGGAATTGGTTGAAGGAACGTTTCCAGGTTTGAAACATCCCATGTTTGATGGGAAGAGCATGGAAGAACCACAGTTCCCTGGAGGAAACCACCATGGAAACAGGCCAGCCACGTGTGGCCCCAATGATCTCAACATGTTGGCAATTCCGAGGATCCATGATATCTCATGACATCTTCATGATATCCATCGAAATCATCGAAAGTCAGAGTTTGTTTCTTGCTTGGATGTGCATCCCAGGTAAGTAGTTTCATAACCAAGTGAAATAAACCAGTTATGGAACCTCCAGTGATACACACACATATATATATATGTGTATATATATATACACATATCATATATGATATATATGATATATGTATATAATATGCCGTTATGCCGTAGGAACAAACACGGGTCATTGATCCCATCCCACCCAGATTGCCGACAAAACCCACCAGCCCCTCGAAGCCTAGGAAATGTTGGAGAAGGAGTACAAAGAAGAAACCACCGAGAAGGGAAATCCTCAGTTCAGGCGATGTTTGGCTAGTGATGATGGTAAGACTGGTAAGATGTGGATAGATGTGGGGTTTTACATAGAAAATAAAGGACCCCCAATAGCTGGCTGCGAAAATGACATGAAATGATTTAGGGGTGCCCCCATTTTAGGACCCCCTCTCATGTGACGGCAGCAACTTTGTTTGTGGATCTAGCGTCTGGTTATTTTTTCACAGGTTGCTACGGATGCTATGCAAAATCACATAAAGTCACCATTTTTTGTAAGTGGAAGACGTGGGTGGAAAAAATAGGGGATCTATCCCCCAAGAAACATGACGAGCCACACAAGAAGTCTATTTTGTTTTTTAAAGGGGGAAACCAAAGTCAGGATCCGAAAGCAACACAAATTCGGGATTGTGTTTCAGTTTTAACCAACCACAAAATGGTACTTGACATTCATCTACCTACCGGCATGAAGATTTCAAATTGGAACTTTATCAGCCAACATTGTAGAACCCAAAGTCACGGGTGGTTCATAATTAGATGACTTTCAGACAGCCCCACTTGAACCCATCACCCTGGCTCCTGGTGATGAGGGTCTTCAAGCTCCCAGCATGTCCCCCCAAGGCTTCAACTAGTGGAGAACTGCATGATGACCCCGCTGTCTTTCGCAAGTAAAGACAGTTTTTTTTGGTTTCAAAGTTCCAAACATGTCTGTTATGTTTGATCTCCCCAAAAATGACATGATGATCCTAGTTTTCAAATGTAGAAGATTTTGGACGTCCTTAGCTCCACCGTAAAAAAATTGGATCTGACCACCGTAATTGTTGGATCAGATGGATATTTTTTGAGGGATGGCTCAGCCACCCGTGGAAAAGCTTGTGGGTTTGCTCTGAAATGAGGGAATCCCATGGTGTTTTTTTCCAAATAACTAGGAGGAACATGATTTTCAAACCGGGGCGATGTCGAATTGTAAATGGTGACAGTTAGTTTCTAAACCACTGAACGTTAAAACCGTTAAAAGGTGAAGGTTTTTGTCCATCGTTTCCAGGAGCGGCAGCGGCACCATCATGCTGATCTCGGCCCCTCGGCATGGTGAGATGGGCCAAGTCCGATTTTCGAAGGGGTCAGTGATTTCTTTTTTGTGAAGAAACATGAGGAAACTATGGAGTAAATCACAAGAACTGCAACAGTAATTAGGGATATTGGGTTCCAAATCTAAGATTCTATATAAGTCGATTTTTTCGTTTTTTTTGCGATTGGGTATAGCCTAGAAGCCAACATTGATGAATGAATGACTCAAAAGGAACAATTTTGGTGGCTCCACTGATACCTCATTCTTGATCCATAGACTTTCTGGGTGTGTCTGAAAATGCCCCCCACTGCCGCCCAAATGCAACTGCAATCGGGAAAACGATGATGAACCATCAACTTTCTCTTTATTTTTTCCAAATGTCCAACAACAAGCATCCAAAGTTCCAGCTTTTTCCAGATTGTTCTTCCAGATTCTCATAGATTCTCCTCGTTTTCCATGGTTTTTATTTTCAGCAAAAAACACATTTTCGAGAATCAAACTATGACATCAACCACCCAGCTGCATCACCCAGGACTTGGCTCTGCTGAAGGATCCGGCCTTCAAGGAGCATGTGGAGACCTATGCGAAGGATCAGGAGCCTCCGCCTCCAGAAGCCTTGTGGAAAACCTCGAAGATTTGGGGGGTCGGGGAACCAGAGATCTTAGATGATTTTAGTCTATCTTTAGTAGGATACAATCGTTGAGATACCCAATTTGGAGCCTAATATCCATCCGAGCAGCTGCAATCTACTCCGGTTGATGATTTGATGTGAGGATTTTCTGGTAGGATTTAACCATCAAAGCTATGGGGATAAGCTGATAAATGGTGGTTGGTTGATGATTTTTTTAGGGTTTTAGATGAACCGACATGCAATGCGGAATGTCACATGGTTTAACATCTGCATACCCTCCGGTGTCATCAAATGTGGCTGGCTAGGAAATCCCCGAACTAAACGATAGATATACAGCTGGGAAAATCCTCAAACTAAATGGTGGCTTTTTCAGCAAAGCCACGTTTGATTGCCGGAGGGTAGCATCTGCGTAAAAGCGATGGGAGAAGATGGGGATTCAACATGACTCAACCCGGATTTCTTGGGATTTCCATGGGTTTTTAATGGGTTTCAACCAACCAGGGGGGTAAAGCATCATAAACACCATCAATTGGGATAGAACGGGAATGGGGATCATTTACCCTCTAGATCCCCGCTAATGCGCTAGCGAAAGTTGCAACAAGCGGCTTTGGCTGACCCGTGACGTCGCTGCCAGAGAACATGTCGTTTGTCCTTTCGGTTTGACAAAAGCAACGGCGACAGCAAATGCAACGACAAGCCCTGGAGCAGATGAACAAATCTTCCAGTTCCACTACTAATAATGAAAGATAAAATGCAGGCGATAAGTCATAGTTTTAAATTTAAAGGCCAAACAAGAAGCCGCACGCGTGGAATTCCCATTTATCAACCAAACCTATATGATGGGGTTTTGCCCCTGAGAACTGGGGATTATACCAATCAATTTACGGGGGATATATCATGATATAGGAAACATGGGGAAACAATGGACTGTCACTATACTTTCCTGCCATTTTGGTGGGGAAAATGAGAATGAACCTTGGGATTTTGGGGTTCCCTCTTTTCAAACGCACCCATCTGCCACTCTTTTTTTGCAATGGAAAAACATCAGTGGTGGGAACATCGTTGTTGGGGCTGGGAACATCTGCGAGGTACCCCCAAGAAACCCAAGAAATTGCCGGGGTTTCACCACTCCGGGGACAGGATGCCTACTTCAAGGACTTCACCAAGGCCTGGATCAAGTTGCAGGAGAACGGTGTGCCGGAGCTCAGGGATGCCCTGTGAGTCGGCCACTGAGCAGCTCGGTTGGGGGTGGTTTGGAAAGGAGAACTTCCTTGGGATCTGAAGAGAAGCAGGGTTCGGACAAATTGGGGTATCAGTTTCCCGCAAGACCTTTCAAAGGTGTTTAAAAGGATTATTGTATATGATATGATATGTTTATACGTATATAAGCACATATTATACGCTAAGTTGCAATCACTACAGGTACAAATGCTGGTATCCTAAGATTGGAGATGGCTCTAAATGTGATTCTAATTAACAATATGGTATGATATGGTATGATATGCTATGATTTGGTATGGTATGATATTGCACTTTGACTCTAAGTTGTTAGGCAACGACTCCAGCTGGAAAAAAATCACGATGGCCACGACTTCTGCTAGATCATCCAACAGGAATTTTGGTGGAAACTTCCCATCTGGTAATTCAACACCTTGCCATGGAAAACTGGCCCATTATCATGAATTACCTCTTCAATCCTCTTCAAAGGGGAGATTTTCTATAGCTATGTTAACTTACCATGTAATTCTGGAAACTGATTTGTCCCCCTAGTTCATGATCATGGATCCGGATCAGCCGCTCCCTGCATTGAAAAAGCACGGCGCCGAGGCGTTCATGGCTTGTCGGCTCCGTCCCCAGAGATTTTGGGGATCCTAGCACCTGCCTGGGCCCTATGATGTTTTGACCACCTTGTGGTGCGACGATTTTCTCTCCATTTTCTCTAGACTATACTCAGTGTATACGGCATTCCATGCTTGAAAAGGCTGCTCCGGGAGCTTTCAGAAGTGGAGAAGAGCACTTGAGGGAAACATCCTTAAAATATCTTAAAATCAGAGGAGTAAATAGAACCAATCCAGTTTTGCTTTCCTGCTTTCCAAGCGGAAATAAACAGATTATTCAGATCCAAATAGTTTTGGACTCTTCTCACAGAAAAACAATATCCATTTGGCAGCAAACATCATTGGCACATATTGGGACGATCAACATCATTTCTACGGATTTTGGCTCAAGCTTTAGCTGACCAGCTAGTTATAAAGGTCCACAAGAAAAGAACACTAATAGTGACATAGTGCAAGGGTTTCGGGTTGATCTTATGCTGCACTTGTGATGACCATCAGCTTCCAAAATGGACACGGTGACCAAAGAATTCATGGCTTGCGGCTGAAGCCCACAAGCGAACACGGAACCACTGACCACCTTTAAAAAGGCTTCCAAGTTCAGACAAACAAAGAGGTTGAACCAAACCTACCTCTACCATACTATAACATACTATAACTATAACTTATCTACCTGGAACATGAAACAACATCTTCAAACCTCGGTTCTTCCCATCGATTCCTAGTCGCATACCTTCCAAGTTTTTACCGCCTTAGTCCGGCGCCATGGTTGCGACACGACTCGCACCGAGGCCGAAGCACATGACTGAGCCCGGTAAATCCGATTCACATTTTTAGAGATGGGATAACCCAAGATAACCAAGCAACCTAAGAATAGCTATATTATGTATATATATATATTATACAGTGTATATATATATACATAACATATTCTTAGGTGGTTGTGAAGAATGACCTTCAGATGCATGGGATTATCCAAGAGGTTTTCGCCCCAGGCTCTGAGACCGTCTCTCAGCACCTCAGCTGCCATCAGGTGCTTCCTCAATACCATGGGGCTGGCGTTGTGGCCGCTGCTGCTGGCCGGGGAACCAGTTGCAGTTGCAGTTTCGCTTCAAGTTGCATTACATCAGCATTGGAAACCTCCACGTATATGGGATACATGGCCTTTATAGGTCCTGTATATGGCACTATGGCCTATACAATGGTGATTTTTTTCATCCCCATTTTTCTTAACAATCTTCCAACATTGGTGGGTGACATCTGATCTTCAGATGTCCAGCATTTCCAGCATTTCCAGCTGGTTCCCAATGTGGGGCCCCCCAGTTATAAGATGGTTTATAAACCCCATTAACTATAGTTATAGGTACCATAAACCATAGTTATTGGAGTTATAAACCAACTTAGCTATCTAGGGGGCCCCACTTTGCAGGCGCGTTGCGCGTGGGGCGTGTGCCAATCACCCAACGACTTCGGGCGGCAGAGCGTGGGCATCTCGGCCCAGATGAAGAGCGACCAGCGGGGCAAGGTGGGCGACCTGCGGGGGGTAACGCTGGGGGCCCTGGGGACCCCTGGGGGGCGCCCTGGGGGGCGCCCTGGGGGCCAGAGTTGGGGGTGAAAAAAACACGAAGAAATTGGGATGAAACTTGATGAAACTGACAAACATTGGAGGATTCGCGAAGCTGACACTGTGGATTTTGCTCAAATTCAAACAAACAAGGAACAAAGCCGTCCAGAAAAGCTTAACAAGACTTGGCGTGCAAGACGCAACCAAGATCAAACCGCATCATGAAGAAACCGCTATTCTTTTGGAGTGTTGACAGCTTGAGTCTTGCTTTTCTGTGGGATGAGTGGGTTTTGGCTCATTTAAAAGAAACGGCCTCAAACAGTGGCAGCCTGTTTCTCTAAAGCCTTGCTGCAATCACTAGGTGTTCCATTCTGCATGGGCCAAACATGTGGGTGGGCCCTTTCAGAATGAGCTGCAAGTGTTGCCTTGCTCTTTGGAGTTCTACTTTCTAAAGAGGCAGGCAATGTCAACATGAATATTTCAACCTTGGGTTCACAAACCCTGATTGATGAATTGGGATCATCGCAGAAAGTGAGCTATTGCATGCCATCGCTGCTTAAACAAATCCCCCAATGAAAGAGTCCTGTGTTTCTTAATCATTTTGATATCATCCTTTTGAGGTTATATAGTGTAAATCTTTGCGAACGCTTCAACGTTCCGACCAACGGAAGCTTAGCTTACCTGGAACCATATTCAAGAAAATGATATATATATTTTAGGCACTGTACATCATGAATTGTGATTAATGAATGGTGAATGAAAACCATCATTAACCATCATTAAGCATCATCAACCATTCATTCGCTGAACGCCCCCCGTTGGAAGGTCACCGTTGAGGTCCTCTGTGGCGAGGATGCGGCGGCGGCGGCCAGCAGGGCGGCCACGCAGAAGTGCCCGTGGCGCGTTTGGGTCACCATCCACTTAACTAACGTATGGCTATGGATCAATACCTATTAATACCATTTTTAGGGGGATGAACATCCATTTACCAGCTATTTTGATGTTCACCAGGGGTACAAGGTTTTGACACACTGCCATATATATATATATATAATAGTGGTATAAAACTAGATTCCAAGTTCTAAATTTAGATATATTTATCAGGATAATTATGGGATGGATATCTGGATATAGCAACATTATATATATATAGATAACGCACTATCATGGTACTTGGAAGTTTCATAACATACATAGCCTCTGGTAAATGAACAGGTATTTGTGATGGGGATGATACGTGGGGATGAATACGTTTAAAGTCATTTCAAGTACATATTGTTCTAAACATTCGATTATAGATACGGGCTTGGGTAATTTTCGGTGTTTGTGGGAGGGTATAGATGGTGAATGATTTCCAATCTATGGGGAATAACATTCTGGGGATCAGGGGTTGCATTTTTGTTGGAGTTATATATGATTATGGATGGATAGATGGGTTTACCCGAGGATCCGACAGCATTAACTCCACAGTGTGGCAAGGAACAGTGCTTTCAGGCCGTGAACCACAGGAAGTACTTTGTGTACTTTATGACACACAGATGTTTATGGTTATATATACACACAGAAACATATATAACGCATACTAAAATATATAGATGTTACATGTGTATATAGATGCATCTTGTATACTGTACTGGTAGTTGCACATCCATTTCAATATTGTATCTACTTTGAGTGTCCAGATGTATCTATATGGGTCAACCATGATGCCTAGCTGAGGAAGACTGCCTCCACTAGTGGAGAGGCCCATCGTGGAAAACCAAGGGGGATGCGTTCAAGCAAGCATGTCTATGCATATATAGTATATGTGATGTGTATATTATGTAGTTATATAGAAAGGTTTTGTTTGATTGTGCAAATAGTTCCACAGGTTTCTTTTTTGTGTTTTTTTGAATTCCTAAAATAGTCCCCATGCTATTTTTCAGTTTTTTTTTAAAAAAATCAAATTCTGAAATAGTTTCTCAAGTATTTTGCAGAGGGTCCATATAGTTCTACATACCCCTCAGCTGCTCACCATGAAAGAGGCCAAGAGAGGTCCCAATGTATATACGAATATAGTATGTATATATATATAATTGTATATATATATATACATAATCATGATTTGTGAATTTAACGAGCAAAGATGACACTTTTGCTCACTTTATGAGTTTCAGGCAAGAAACAAAGCCGGAATGTTGACTCAGCTTGGCTTCCCGCCAGTGTATTCAGATGATCTACCCGCCCCATTGCCATGGAAAATCATTCATTTTTTCATGTTTTTTTTCCCCACTAAAACTATATGGGTATGGATCAATAGCTATTAATACCTTTATTAGTGGGATGAACATCCATAAATCCCAGCTATTTTGATGTGAACTACAGGGGTACAAGGTTTTGACACACTGCCATATAAAAGCCTTGATTTTTGATAGGAATACTTCCTTGATGGTGTGAGTTTTTTCAGTGATGATCCCTCTTCCTGCCGCAGGCAGTCTTGAACTGTGCTCGAAGCTTGCAAGAGCAACTTGATAAAGAGGTGCAGCGGAAGGGATAGACTGCTTCGAACATGGCAGGGGACAGTTCTGTTTTGGTACAACAAATTAAAGGCGAAACTGGTTAAGAACAGAGGATGAGGATGAGGATGAGGATGAGGATGATGACCATGATGACCATGATGACGATGACTATGATGACGATGATGACGACGATGATGATTATGATGATGATTATTATGATGCTGCTGATGCTGATGCTGATGCTGGCCTGACACTTCCATTCCTCAGAGCAAACTGACACAATGAACTTCTCACTGCTTCAACTAACCGGAGTTGCATCTCCCC